ATGTCAGTTCAAAGATTCCTTGTAGTAACTTTAAATAGCTTTATCTAAACCTCTCACCATTTACTGTTTTAATGATATTGACACATGTTATTATCACTTAAAAATAATACACAAATGGGACCAGCAGTTAGCGTAATGGCTATGTCGCTGGACTCCCATGTAGTCGACCACGGTTCGAGTCCCAGACCCAGTGGCTTAAAACTCACACCGGGCATGTATGCGTGTGTTCACAAGATCCTGAGAGAAGAATGGAGGAGAACGGATTGTGGCATAGCCATGCCCCCTGGGGGATGATTTCTTGCTTTCTGTCTCTCTGTCTCTGTCTTTCTGGCGAGTGCATGCGCCCTATAGCAAAGACATCTCAAAAAATAAATTAAACAAATAGTACACAAAGAATTTGAAGTTGAACAAAATATATCTAGCAAAGGGGAGATAGATACTGGTTTGTTTTATTTTTCTCAGACTACGTAAGTTTTATATTAAAACACGGCAGTATAGAAACTAAGGCTGACTTAGTTAACTTGCCTAGAAACTCTGACATAGGCTAATTATATGATCTTTACCTTCCGCCATTTCAGATGTAATCTTCACTGCTCCTGAAAAACAAACAAACGAACAAACAAACAAACAAAAAGACGTGATGATGTGCGGCTCTCTACATAGGCTGTTACTTTAAGAAATGCAAGTGTAGAGAGAGGAATGTGTTGTCAAATGAAATACACAGCACAACCACGAGACATGCGCATCCCGCTGGCTGCAGATCACACAGTTCAGGATGAAACTGAGCCAAGGCTCCTGCTAAAAGATTCTTTTCTTTCGTGGGTGAGCGAGGAGTACTGCTAGTCCAGAAGAGCCAGCAGGATTTACAGGGAATTAAAGACAGTGTAGGGCAAGAACCTGGAATCAGAGATCAGGAAGTCCTCCTCCTGTTCCTGGCCTAACCTTTAATTCAGTGTGACTGTCTGTGTGAAGTGTGGCTGAGGGACAAGCGGAGCAGTCAGACCACGCCTTACGTGCTGAGCCAAACAAACATCCTCTGCGTGGAAGCATCCTGGTATCTCACTGGCTTTGGGGTGTCTCTTCCAGATGCTTGGCCTTAGGCACACACAGCCCGTGTCAGAGTAAATAAAGAGCATCGTTCAGACTACCGCATGGTCGGCACGTGGCATGGCCGGATCAGGTTCTTACAGCATATCGGATGGAACGCTGGTTTCTCCCTCCGTTTATGCAACAGCTCAAGGCGACAGGGTGACGCTGTTCTCAGTCTAGAGGCAAGAAGGGAGATCGCATTGTCGACCCAGGTTCAGCTCCCAGTCTCCTTACTGCGAAAGTAGGTGGTGACTGTCCCATTAAGGAGAGCCTGTTACGTTGACACTGGCATTTGATTTTAGGCTGCGTTCAAGAGGGGACACAGAATCTGGGAAGGACTGCCCACCTTGCCCTGCTCAGAGAACATGTAGAGTAACATACGAACTAGTGACGGTTTCCCAACAGGTGACATGCAATAAATCATCTGAGGCGAGTCCACCTAGAAAGGGACTCAAACCGCGGCCGATTACGTGGGAGTCCAACGACATAGCCATTATGCCATCTGCTGGTACCAATCACTTGACAACTTTAAAAAACAAAGTCACTGATTTCCTTACATCCAGCCGGTGACCTCCCTCACATAAAAAGTGAAATTGACCCTTAGACATGATTGGGTCCTATTTCTGCCCATCACCCACTTTCTCACGTCCTCTCCTTCGGCCCCCCTGACCTTTTTCGGATCACCTGGCTGCCCAAACTCTTCCCCATTGTTCTGCCGCTCTTCGCTCGGCTTGGGGCACTATTTTCTTGTCCTCCTCCTTCCCTGTGTCTTCCTCCTCATCCTCTCTTTCCTCCCGTCTCTCTCTATACTCTCCTCCATCCTCCCCCACCCCATCTCATTACGGTGTAATTCTCACTTCTGTTGAAAGCTCTGCTCTGACCACGGCTTCTAAAGTGAGGTACCACCACCGATACCATTACTTGGAAAAGTTCATGGAAAATGGAATTAAAGCTTGAGTTTATTTCTGTATAAAAAGTTTTGAAATCCATGCACAGCTTTCCATAATACACATTTTCTGTAAACTTTGTGGAGACCCCTGTGTAGCTCTCATTACCCTATTTTCTTCTGAAACTACTTATTTATGAGTGTGCTCACTTTCGCAGTCAGGCTTCCCGTGAATAACTACAATATTCAGAACAGGCATCCGACCTGGCTTATTCAAAGACGGGTACTAAGTCCTCTTTACAGAGCTGGGCTCAGAAGAGTTGCAACTGAAAGATGGGAGGCAAGAGAATTTGACACGTTAGCCTTCACTTGGGTGGATTAAGTTACCGAAATACTGACTTCACTAATAGGTACCTTTACTTATTAAAAATTTCCTCTTTGTGGACTATAACAACAGTGTGAAATCAAATCTCTGGAAAATCAGTCTAGCCAAAATCTGCAAATACACTGCTCCGTTTTCAAGCATGAGCTATTGGCTGGCGTTTAGTCGTGAACTTACGAAAGGTTAGAACTTTGTGAAGTGTTACTACCTGGGCTTTCAAACCAAGGAGAGTAATATTTATCCAGACTGGAGTTGTAGTCATGCTATCTTGTGAGCTTTTCTGAATGTGTAACATATGGCACACGTAACACTCCGGGTGGGAGGTAACGGATGGTGAATAGGGAAACACCCAGGAAGGAAAGGGAAAAGCAACGGGTCTCTTCCCGCAGAGGGATACCATGGATGAAGGCTGCTCTTGTTTCTTGGCAGAGCATTTGAAATAATTCGATGTGCAGTGTGTGGACTTAAAAACGTTTTTAAAGCACGAGCTTAGCATCTATTTAATTAGAAGAGAAATTTTTCCTGAGACTCCTGCTGCTGGGCAGGTCTAAGGCGGCTGACTGTAGGATATACTGCTTAATCTGACTTTAACTTAGTACCTGGAAAATAGTAAGATGTATTTTCTAAACCTTTTGGAGGTGTTATTTCACTGGCTCCTATTAATATCACTATTATTATTATTCCTGGATATGTACTACACGTGCAACGGAAAACTTGACTGTGTCTGCCAAATAGGAAAACCTAATCCTTGTCCTGGAGGACATCGTAACTGAGAAATGAAAGACAATCACGCCAAACCAGATGTAGCTAGAGAAACGCAAAGAACATCAGCTTGCCAAACACAGCTTTGGTTTAAAAAAGAAGGATGATGTCAGCAAACACATGGAGGAATAATTAAGGGGCTTAATTACTGCTCAGCTAGATATTTCTATTTCCTGCAATATTTAGAAAGAAACTAAACTGAATAATCTCTAATATTTCTGGGACTCTTTTAAGCTTTAAGCAAGATTTCATTATAAAGAACACTCTGTTGAATGCAGCAAAATTCTGTGACATCGAAATTTACAGTATACAGCAAGAATCAGGTTTATTTTGTTTGCAAACACCAACAATTTAAGCACAATAAAGCTTATGGCAAAGTTTGTAATTCCCTATCAGAACCTTATTAAATGTTTTAGACAGCAGAAAATTGGGAAGCAATTGCTCATAATAGTGGCATCGTATTCTGAAGGAATTAGCACAACTCAAATAAATTCTTAACTTATTCTCAAAATTAATATAGAAATAGAATAGAATTTGAAATAGAATCTTTCCATTTGCCTTAGTTTGCTAAACCAAGCACAAGATCAATTTAAAAAATAATTTATCTAATGTTAATTTAATTCATTGGTTCTCAGACAAACTTAGCTTCATAAACCAATTATTTGATATTGGAAAGATAAAGACCTCTGAAATATTGACAATCTACCCTAGCTCTTTAAGGTATAGAGAGTGCCTACAGAATTACCCCAGTCCCTCCTCATAGTGGCTGGGAAACGTAGGGAGAATTAAAAGAACTGCCGAAAACATCAGTAAATAAGGAGGTAAAGAAAAGTTCTGATTGAGGCGGTCTTCACTTTCATTCCGTGACGCACACCATCACTGAAGCCAAGGCCCCACCCGTTGCCCTTGTGTCAGCACCCCTCAGGCGTCTGCTGAGCATATTTCTCTTTAAGGTTGGTCACTGGTGGTCTCTTTAAAGCCGAATTTATCCAGGTCAGTATCTCAGACGGGAAGATGGCGACATGAGTCACAGGATGAGTTGCCACCAGGGCTCATCCTCAGTCCACTGCGTCCCTCAGGTTTAATTCTAAAAACGCTCACAGTGCTTTCCATGTTACCTCCCCACCCAGTACCCTCACACCTGCACGATATTGAGATTCTAGAAGACTCCTAGTACTAATTAACATAAACACACAGGAAGAGTGGAGTCTTGCTCAAGTAACTCTATATAGTCCATGAGAAGATCTTGCTTCTTTAAGCAAAAGTGTTTCCATAAAAGTATGCTTTTCTTTTAGAGACTTCGGAATAAGTAATCATGGCCATTTACAAAAATATATATTGTTGTGAGAACTATGTTTAAAGTCTGTGAAAGAAAAAGAACCCTGACGAGAAGTTTTGGTGATGACATGGCTTTGAAGAAGCAGTGGGAGAGTGGCTGCCAGGAAAATGCCCCTTGCAGAGCGAGAGCTTGCCCGGTCCCTCTCTCACTTAGTTATTACACTCATTCTTCTAAGAAGATTTTCACACGCTTCCTTAACTGTCTAACCACAGTTATTACTGTCTTATAATAATAAATTTGTATCTGAAAAAAAGTGCAGAATAATACATGAGTCGGTAATTGCTGGTGTTACACTTCTTTTTCCTTGCACTTTGCTTTGTAAGAAAGAGATTTAATATTCATGAAAATGGCTTTCTTGGCAGCAGGACAGTATCTTCCCAATGAAGAGCCCATTGATGACGGAGAATAGAAGTCTTTTCCCTCTTCAGTAGAAGACTGCCTGTTACCCAGTGTCCTTTTTGTCCCATTGGGGAACAGGGAACTTTTTGTTCTTTCCAAGAAATGGCTTTTCAGATCCAGTAACAATATGTTCTGGTCCTCAGGAAATAAGAGAAGACCGAGACAGGCCGCGGCTGGACTCCATGGTGCTGCTAATCATGAAACTAGACCAGCTGGACCAAGACATCGAGAACGCCCTGAGCTCCGGCTCCTCCCCTTCCAGCACCCCGACCAACCTGCGGCGGCATGGTCCTGTGAGTACTCCGCTAGCGAGGTCCCTGGACGTCAAACGGCCCTTCTCGTGAACCAAACGTCCCTGATAATACTGTAGCACCTACCGATAACGACCTAACAGAGCCCCATAAAAACCGTTCGAATAACTCCAGGCTTTATGCCAAGAGTCCATAGAGAAAAAGGGTGATACCAAAAAAAAGTAAAATAAATAAAAATGCTTAGCATTAAACAGGAAGAAGGGTTCCTTCAGAAAGCGTGCCACCTGGCAATCGGACCCTCTTTGTCATAGTAGGTTCCCCAATTATGTCCTCTCCAACACAGCGTGGCTCCATCAGCCAGCACCACCCCTGCCTTGTCCAGTCCTTTATTAGGCCCAGAAATTTCCATTGCATGTACAGGATGCTTACTATGATGGAACTTCAAAGGTTGGTGGAAAAATGAAATCTACAAATTTATTTTGGTGTAAAAATAATTGGAAATTCTTGCGCAGTTGGTTTTTCATAATACAAAATTTCTGTGAACTTTTTGAAAATTCCTCGTATATTTGCCATATGGATAGATGGGTAGATACATAGATTCTTCTTGACCTAACTCAACATTCTGTAGGAAAGAATGCGGATAAGATTAATTCGAGAAGACTCAGCGAAATGCAATGACTAGGATAGAGGCAAGGATTTTAGTCTGTTGTGCACTCCTCATACGTAAGACAGGTACTCCTTTGAGACTGTGACAATCAAAATAAAATTGGGGAGGTGCAGATTCCAGGGTTGACAATACATTTTATAAATTTAATATTAGCTTCACGTGAAATGACTTAGTTTGTGCACATCTAGGAAATATGATGGTAGAATTTACTCACAATTAAGTCATGACTATCTTTAAAGTAATCTATTTACTCCCGTTATACAATAGTAAACATGTTGACTCAAGAAATTTCCATTTACATGAGGTCAAAGAAATGGAAAGTTGTATTCTCAACTTTGAGCACCTCTTAAAATACAACTGTTCTATACTGAATTATTAGGTCATCCAGAAAGTCAACATATTTTCCTGTTTTTCTACACAAAAAAGTGTCATGACTTTCCCAGCAACCCCGCATGTACTGATACTAGTTCCACCATGGATTCTGAGGTCATGGAAAAATCGTTCTGAGTGGAGCAGAGTAAACAAGCAGAACAAATTAAGAGCTAACTTTAGTGTACACGAGGTAGGTCCTATTTTAAGTGACCTGCGTGTGTTAACGTGTTCACTCCTCGCAGTGTTTCCAGATGCATAGAACTTTCTCCAGATGGAGAACTTTGTACTTGCACGTGCCAGAGCTGGTACACAAACCCGGCCCCTTCGACTCAGTGCTGTGTCATGTAACCACTACGCCACACTGCCTTCTCCAGCTCGCTACAATGGGAACTTTATTTTAAGTAGGAAAAAAAGAAATCAGTTAAAACTCAATAAATATGAAACTACTTCGACTCTGAAAGCCAGTAGAAATGAAATTTTTATTGTTGTTTGTAATCTGGGTAAATTTTTCTTAACCCTCCAGGAGTCATTGCACACATTTTATTTACAGTGAGCCCTCCCTAAATCTTGGACCAGCAGTTGGCGTACTGGCTATGTCACTGGACTCCCATGTAGTTGACCACGGTTCAAGTCTCGGACCCAGTGCTTTAAAAGAACTCACGCTGGACACGTGTGCATGCGTGCCCAAGATCCCAAGAAGAGACAGGAGGAGAAAGGATTGTGGTGTGGCCATGCCCCCTGAGGGGTGATTTCTCATTTTCTGTCTCTCTGTCTCTCTCTGTCTTCCTGATGAGCACACGTGCCCTATAGCAAAAACCTCTTCAAAAAAAAAAAAATATCTTCTATCTTCTTAGACAGTCCATTACTCCCTTCCTGGTGCTCCCATGCTGTCTTGCAGTTTTAGGAAATACAGCAATGAAAACAATGCAATCAAAGCGATCTGGAGATGGCCCCTAAGGCCGCACTTAAGCCATGTGCAAAGGGAGTTGGATTCCAGACAACTGACCATGCTCCAAACCCTGACCCTGGCACACTGAAAACCACACTGAGCGTGTGTGCATGCATGCCCCAAATCCTGAGAGAATGGAGTGATGGAAGAAGACTTGCGGCATGACCATGCCCCATCAAGGGGTGCCTTGTCTTTTTCTCTCTCTCTCTCACTGGTGAACACATGCACTCTCTGGCAGTAGAAGTTATTTACTGGGGGAGTGGTTAAGCAAGTTAACATAGTGGTTAAGCAAGTGGCATAGTGGTTAAGATCTTGGATTCCCACATAGCCAACCACGGTACAAGTCCTGGACACGGTAGCTAAAGACTCACGCCAATCATGTGTGCATGAGTGCCCAAAATCCAAAAAGGAGAATGGGGGAGAAGAGATTGTGGCATGGCTATCTCCCTGGAGGATGATTTCTCACTTTCTCTCTCTCTGACCCTCTCTGTCTCTCTGGCAAGTACACACAACCTATAGAAAATAAAAACCTCTAAAAGAAAAAAAGAAATTTTTTGAAAAAAGTAATCTTGTAAAAGCCAGAAAAAAGAGAGATCTTAATTGTATTTAGATATAAAGAGTACATACACGCTTCATCTTTATTTTAATTAGCACTTTTTACTTTTTTTCTTTTTAGGTTTTTGCCTTAAGGTATACACACTAGCCAGAAAGAAGTAGAGAGAGGGAAAGCGAGAAGTCACCTCCCAGAGGGAACGGCCATGCCACACACTCTCACTGTGATTTTCAAGCCCTGGATCTGGGACTTGAACTGTGGTCAGCCATGTGGGAGTCCAGCACCTTAACTACCATTCCATCTGCTGGTCAGCAGTTAAAACTGGCTTTAAAGGGACCAGCAGATGGCATATTTGTTAAATTGTTAGACCCCCACATAATAGACTGCAGCTTGAGACCTGGACCTGGCCATTTAAAACTCATGCCAGGCGCATGTGCATGTGTGCCTAAGAGCCTAAGAAGAGAAGAGAATGTAGCAGAAGGGATTGCAGCATGACCATCCCCCCAGGAAGTGATTTCTCACTTTCTGTCTCTCTCTCTCTCTGGCAAGCACTATAGTGAAAAGGAAAAACAAAAAGTGGCCTTAAAAAGCCAGGAATAAACTTAGTTAAGGTACTTGTAATACCGCTTCATCATTTATCTAAGTACAAGATACTTTTAATTTAAAATTTTTCTAGTATAAGTTTTTAACATACATCTTTATGTGTTTAACACTTCTTTTTCCAGCAGGATTACCATGCTTATCAGTCAAGACAAAGACATTACTATCCATATCATCAGCAGCAAATAGCTTTTCATTTTTTTCAGATTATTATCATTTCTATTCTCTTTATTTTGTTTTAAATATTCAATCACTATACATCATTTTGCTTGTGAAGAGAATTTACTTAACAAGAAATACTTCCCTCGCAAGTCCAGTTGAGAATACTATACATATTACCATCAACAGGTAATAAACCATTTCTGTGTCCCACTAATGTCATGCCTATTTGTTCTCCTGCTTTCCTTCTCTATACTCTTCCCTTCTGCTCTCCACTCTCGTTCCACACTGTCTTCAGCATCCACAGCTATTTTCATTGCTTTTATGCCCTCCAATATTTCGATCTCTACCATAGAGTGTGGGTAGTAGGTGTATATTAACTGGAGACATATAATATCTTTCTTTCATACCCTGTCTTGCTTCACTCAGCAATAGATCTTCCATATTCAACCACTTTCTATCAAATGCCAAGGTTTGTTGTTTTTTACGGCTGAGTAGTATCCATAGAGTATATGTGCCACACTTTTTCAATCCATTGTGGATTGTTTGTGGACATTTGAGTTGGTTCCACATCTTACCAAAAGAATAATGCTGCAATAAGCATCAATGTGCAAGCACTTTTCTGACAAGCCTTCTCCTGTCCTTTGGGTAGATACCCAGAATTAGGATTGCTGTATCAAATGGTAGTTCTATTTGAAGGTCTTTGAGGAACCTCCATATTGTTCTCCACAGTGGCTGAACCAGTTTGCATTCCCACCAACAGTGTAGGAGGGTCCCACTTTAAGCACATCATTTCCAAAACTTACCACGTTTTGTATTTTTAATCTTTGCCATTCTGACAGGGGTTAGGTATCTCATTGTAACCCTTATCTCCCTTATGATGAGGGATGTTGAGCACTTCTCATGTTTTTTGGCTGTTCATATGTCTTCTTTACAGAGATTTTTGTTCGGCTCATTTTCCCATCTTTTAATTGAGTTAATAATTTTTTTTCAGGTAAGCTGCTTGAGTTCCCCATGTATTATGGTTATCAGTCCCTTACCTGAGTCATAGTTACAAAAATATTCTCCATTTCTGAGGATTCTTGATTCATACTAACTACTGTATCCTTTGCTGTGCAGAAACCTCTTCATCTGATATAGTCCCACCTGTCTAGTTTAGGGATTATTGCCCATGCTCTGGGAGTCTTATTTAAGAAGTCTTTGCCTACCCCAATGTCTCCCATGGTTCTCCACCAGTAGTATTATAGTTTGAGGTCTTAGGTTCACATCTTTGATCCATTTCAAGTTCATTGTGTTCACGGTGAAAGACGGGGATTCAGTTTCATTTTTCTAGAGGTGGATACCCAGTTTGTCAGCACCATTTGCTAAAGAGGTTTCCCTTTTCCAATGGGTTGACTTGTGCTCTTTGTCAAAAATCAGTTGGCTGTAAGTTTTGGAGTTTATTTCTGGAGTCCCCATGCTATTCCATTGACCCACCTGTATATTTTGTGACAATACGATGCTGTTTTCATTATCACAGCTTTATAATATATTTTGGGGTCATGGAGTGCTATGCCACCCACTCCACTATTCTTGTTCAGGGCTGCATTGGCAATTAGAGGTCTTTTATGATTCCAGACAAATTCTATGGTTGTCTTTCTAGATCTGTGAAGTATGTCTCTGGTATTTGATTGAAATTACATTAAAATATGTAGACTAATTTGAGTAGAATTGCCATTTTGATTATATTAATTCTTCCAATC